AGGCACACAACAACAACAACACACACATATACATATAGGGAAAAAATAACTAAAAATGAAACAACTTTGCCACATTTTTATCCTGGGTGAAGTCGTCTTCTCCACCAAGTTGAAAAGTAGAAATTTTCCTTATACCCGGTCTGTACTTATTGTAAAGTTCAGCTGTTGTTGGAGCCATGTTCAGCTTCTGGGGGAGTACAAGAGTTTCTTCCAACCCAGTCTTGCCTGGTAGCATTGCACCAGTGTATTATTCATACTAACAGTACATCTCAAATGTTGTTGTCTTTGCTATTCTACCAAATGCTGTGTCTCTCATTTGACATAACCAAGTACAAGATCACACATTTTATTGATTAATCAGTTAGGCTGAGTTTAGCAACATAGCTCCTGATATCTTCAATATGCAAGATATGCTCATGTCAATTAGGCTTTGGCCCCAGGAGTAGGTATGCAGGTATCTACAAGGAGGAGAAGGAGGAGAGATTTCTCTTTTTATGAGTCAGATAAGGCTACAAAGTTATGGTCCCTACTAACTGTGCTGTGGAAACATCTGGGAGGAAAAGGAGTTGTACAGAAAATATACCCAGTCCATAAGTGAAAGTGTTGCTTATTCAGAGCAGAGCATTAATCTAGATTATTGGTAAAACCTCCTGAGGCTAGTAAATTGCTCATTCCCTGTGATGTATGACACGAAATGAGCACATTTTGCTCTGCAGAATCCAATCACAGGTTTTTTTTCTCCAGAGGAGGCTCAGCAATTAGACTGTTACTGATTAGCAGGGAGACAGGAGTCACATTATGAGGTTTAGGTAGCAATTGTAGGAATCTCTGGTGGCTTTTTAAGTGAAGTTAATACACAGAGAAGATTTGCCATGAAGAATTAGGAACATAAGCATAAAACTTGCAAATTGAAGGGTATTAAAAAGTAGCTTCTTTTAATGTTTTCTGGGAAAGGGAAGTGTGGAATGTTACCAACAAAAAAACAGAGAGACCCAGGGGAGCTACATATTTTAAAATGAAGCAGCACATTGAGAGAGATAGTGATATGTGCATTTTAATACCAGGAAAGAGACAGAGAGAGGTTGAAAGTACCTGGAGGGGGGAAAAACTGAAGAAGAACCTTCAATAGCTGTAAGCCTTGCAAAAGAGACATCAAAAATCAAATGCATGCAAAGGCCAAATACTTTGCTCAGCAGTTGCTTAGGAACTACATTCATCATCTCTCATAGACAGACAAAAAACACTAGTATTGATGTGGAAGGGGTGAATAGCTGGATCTGTAGTTAGCTTCTAAAAATACAATTTACCAAACAATGTTAATAACCTAATATTCCACATCACCATCCTCTCAAATTAAGGTCTCAAACTGGGATCTCCCAATACCAGACTCTGGGCACCATGCAGCCTGTGTCACCAGCACTCCAGGCCTTCACTTAGGCTGCATCTGCACTGCAAAAATAAACCACTTTAGCTGTCATGGCTCCATCTTATGTAATTCTGGGAACTGTAGTTTTGTTGTGGCACCATAGCTCTCTGACAGAGAAAGCTAAATATCTCACAAATCTACAGTTCCCAGAATTACATAGCATTGAGCCATGGAAATTAAAACAGTGTCAAACTGGATTATTTCTACAGTGTGGATGCAGCCAGTCAGTTCAGGTTTTTATAAGACAAGGATGACAAATAGGCTAAAATGCCGATACTTGCTATCAGCTGATCTCCCAAACCGACGGAGAGATGCCAGTCTCCTTCTGATGTGCCTATGCTAATAACATGCCAAAATTACTTACACGTCCTCATTAGACATTTTTGCTATCACAGTTCCCTTTCCCAAGAATCACAATTTATCATCATCACCCATTTCACACCCTTCCCCCATGGATTCACATGCAAATTTCACAATTTTGTCTCACCTTAACAATCCCATTGCTGCTATGAAAGGAGGAGGATCAAAACTGATGTTGAAGCACAGGTGGGCCATATCATTCTTTCCACTCAACATGACTCCATCATTCCATTCCCTATAGCCCTGCTATACCCTTTAAACGAGTTCCCAATCACATTACCTGCCCCTCTATGCTCCCACCTCTTGCATCCTATGTATAGTCAGCCCTCCATAGTCATGGATTCTTTATCCATGGATTCAAGCATCCAAGCTTTAAAATAATAAAAATAAATTAATTCCAAACCTTGATTTTGCCATTTTATATAAGGGTCATTATTTTACTATGCTATTGTATATAATGGGACTTGAGCATCCACAGATTTTGGTATCCATGCAGGGTTCTGGAACAAAACCCCAGTGGATACCAAGGACCAACTGTAAGCAGTACTAAGGCTGTACTCACTCTGTCTTGCGTGCGCACACACCCTTAAGGGAATCTTCAAATTTCTATCCGTTTCCCACACAAAACATGACTCCAGATTACCTTGTGATTTTAACTTACTCATTTTTGTAGCAACTGACAACTTCCACCGTGCTACCCTTTGCCACTTAATATAACAGCACACACACACACACCACTTTCTAGTATTAGTAATAGCTCCTATATATCAGTAGAGGCCTCCCTAGTCCCTATGCCCTGGAAAATAATTTTTGATCTACAGTAACATGGAAGGAGGTTTATAGCCTCCCACTCACTCCAAGTGCCTTAGATTGTGAGCATGCAACCATGCACTATGGCATGCTGTAATTGTGGAATAGTGATATTAATCTATTTGTGCATTCTTTCAATGCAGGTTTTTCTCCCTTCCTTCACATCTATGCTTCATTGGACCCAGTTAGCAAAGATTACAGGCTGGATAATAAAAAATATTTTTTTTAAAAAAAAAAGGGGGGGGGGACACAGGTTGAGCCTTGTTGTTGTTAACTGCCACCATGTCAATCTTGATTCATGCTAACCCTATGGATGAGACAACTCCAAGACCCTCTGTCGTCCACTGCTCTGCTTAATTCCTGCAGCCCCTTAATACCTGTGGCCTCCTTAATACAGTCTATCCATCTAGCATATGGCCTTCCTCTCTTCCACTTCCCTCCACCTTTCCCAGAATTAATATCTTTCCAATGAGTCCTTCCTTCTCATGATGTGACCCAAGTACTACAGCCTCAGTTTGGTCATCTTGGGTTCCAGGGATGTTTCTGGCTTGATCTGTTCTAGGATCCACTTGTTTGTCCTTTTGGCTATCCATGGGATCCTCAGCATTCTTCTCCATCACCACATCTCAAATGCATTGATTTTCTTCCTATCATCTTTCTTAACTGTCCAGCTCTCACATCCATACATGCTAATAGGGAATACAATAGTTTGTATGATTCGAACTTTTGTGCTGAGTTGTATATCTTTGCATTTTAGAATCTTTTCTAGTTCTTTCATAGCTCTTCTCCCATTCTTAGTCTTCTTCTGATTTCGTGACTGCAGGCCTCATTTCTATCAATGTTTGATTCCGGATATGGGAATTCTTTTACTTTTTCTGTTTCTTTATTGTCTAGGTTGAACTTCTGAAGGTCCTCAGTGATCATTATTTTTGTTTTCTTTATGTTCAATATTAAGTCTGCTTTTGCAGCTTCTTCCTTGATCTTTCTTAGTACTTGTTCCAAGTCTGTAAGGTTTTCTGCTAGTATTATGATGTCATCTGCATATGTTGATATTTCTTTCTCCTATTTTCACTCCTCCTTCTTCTGTGTCCAAGCCTGCTTTACTTATATGTTCTGCATACAAGTTGAACAGATAGGGTGAAAGGATGCAGCCTTGTCTGACCCCTTTGCCAATTGGAAACCATTCAATTTCTGTGTTCTCTTCTGACAGTAGCCTCTTGTCCTTCCTTATTTGAAATGCTTGGGACCAGAGGTGTTTTAGATTTTGGATCTCTCCACAGATTTTGGAATATTTGTATATACATAATGAGATATCTTGGAGATGGGATTCAAGTCTAAACATGAAATTCATGTTTAGTATATACCTTATACACATGCCCTGAAGGTAATGTTATAGATAATATTTTCAATAATTTTGTGCATAAAATGTTTGTGAATACTGAAACATCAGAAAACAAAGATGACACTATCACAGCCTCACATGTGGACAATTTTGGATTTTCAAGTATTTCAGAATTCCAGATAAGGAATATGCAACTTGTAGGCACATGTCTGTCTAACATATTTGCTTTGATTTCTTCCAGAAATGACTTTCAGAAGTGGAAATTACAACCTCACAATGATTTGGGATACTACCACAGGACAAATCGCAGAACATTGTCCTGCTTCCCCCACAACAAATCTGTAACATGAAGCTTAAAATTCAAAACAATAGACAACAGAAAAACCTGGTTTCTGCCTCTTAACAGAGTATTCCTGCTACTAGAAAATTCAGAAAATTACAAGGAATAATTTGAAACAAAACAAGCTTCATATGGATCTCAGAAAGAAATGTACAAAAATATTTATCAACATCCCCTTAATAGCATATTAACAGGTCTGTCTTGATACTTTCATATTTTCCTATTTATATCCCTGAGTGAAACTACAGATCACTGTTCCTCAACTCAAGGACTATTACAATGCATCTGGGATGTAACAGCTAAGAATTTTGTCAAAGTCATTTTAAAATAATAATAACATAGAAATAATATTGAATTTGCAAATTTCTTCATAAATTACACAGAAAAAACTTGCCAAATTCACCAACCAAGACAATGAACTTTGAATACTTAATTCTTAAAAGTCTGGGTTTGAATCCTTTAACAACAGAGTTTCAGGTCTGGGAGGATTATTGCCTCTTTTTACTGGCAGACTCCTAATCTTTGACAACTACATAGTAGACAGGTATAACATGAACCTCTTAATTGGCTGAAGATATCCAGTCTTGATAATAAGTTTTTGGTGTCTGCATGTTTTTCATAAATGTGATGCAAAAAGCACAAAGGGTTTTTTCCTCCTGGTGGTTGCTTTTTTAAAATCAAATATGAGAGAAAGTAAAAATGTCGGATTGATCCACCCCTAATTGACATGGTGCAGTGGTTTGAGTGCTGGACTATGACTCTGGAGACCAGGGTTCAAATCTCTGCTCAAGCATAAAATTGGGTGATCTTCAACAAGTCATACTCTCTCAGCCTGAGGATGACAATGGCAAACCCCCTCTGAAGAAACTTGTCAAGAAAACCCTATGAGCCCTTAGGATTGCCACAAGTAAAAAATGCCTTGGAGGCAGACAATAACAACAAAAGTTGGATTACTGGGGGTAATCTAGGGGCATGCATAGCTACATATCAATCTCCCACTAAAATTTCATTGCTGAGGATTGCTAAAATACAGGGGAAGAGGGGGACTCCCCATCCATTTGCTTTGTCACACATGCAATTTAGTCCTCATTACATCTGTAAATCTTCCTTTCCTCAGTCCTCAGTCTGAAGGAATATAAAATGGAGAAAGGTCTATATGCCTTCACTCCATGTATGCTTAAATGTTATAGCTTGGTTCGTTTTCTGCTAGGCTGCTCTCATGAGATAGACATAATACCACTTAGCATTTACGTAGCACACTTCAAGTATTCAAATTACCCCATGAACATCATCTCAGTAATCCTTAGCCCCATAAGTAAGCCACCACTATCATCATTCCCATATTGCAGACAGAAGTTGAGAATATGGTATAGTGGTTATCTAATTATGGTAATACCAAAACAGGAGACTTTGCAGTAGAGCCACAGCCAAAGGTGGGGAGGGGGCAGAGAGCTTGCCCTTCTCCAGATAGACTTCTTAAATTAAAAGGAAAAAAAAACTTCTAAATTCCTTCCCACCAAATTGGATGAAGCACCAATGTTTTCCTGTTACAAATACACCAGCTAGACTGTGACTCGGTCTGACCTGCTCTGCTTTTCAAATAATCCAACCTAAGGCTCCAATTACCAGGGAGTCAGGCAGACAGCTCCCTTACTTTCGTGATCCCCTTGCAGCTAGCACTTTAAGGAACTTATGGGGTAAGGAATTGTAATTTCAATACTATCGGGAGGAAGGGAATTATGCAGACTGCCAGAAATAGTGCAAATTGAGTCCACTTTAACCATCCTGGCTCAGTGCTAGGGAATCATGGGAATTGTTGTTTTTCTGAGACATTGAGCCTTCTCTGTCAGAGAGCTCTGGTGCCACAATAAAATACAGTTCCCATGATTCCCTAACCCTAACCCTTAAAGTGGACTCAATTTGCACTATTTCTAGCAGTCTGCAAAGGCCCTAAGTCTCTGGAAACCAGGGTTCAAATCCCTCCTTGGCCATGGAAATCCACTGGGTGATTTCAGCAAGTCACAGTCTTTCAGAAGAAGGTAAAGTCAAATCCCCTCTGAACAAACCTTGCCAAAAAAAAACAAAAAAAAACTGTGATATGGTTGCCTTAGATGCTCCATTAGTCAAAAATGGCTTGAAGGCACACAACAGCAATGGCACAACAAAGTCACATTTAAAAAGTAACCCGAGTGGCAGTGGCATTAGCTGTTTTGGTGTTAACAAGTAATATACAGTGGTACCTCTACTTACGAAATTAATCCATTCCGACAGCCA